ACTTATTGAGTAAATTTAGCCTAAACGATTGCAATCATGTACTTAAATATTCAAATATTTGAGAAATTATATGTACAATAAGAAGATATTTTTGTAAATAATAGTGGATACATTTTGTACTCATCTACCGCTATAATGAAATAGGTAGTAAATAGATTTTAGAATCCTCAATATAATGAATCAAAGCAGCAATATAAATGTGAGAAGAAGTATTCTGCTTACAAATTTGACTCGAAATAATAAAAAAATATTTACAATACAATCAATAAATATTGTCTTGTTTGGAAAATATCAATTTGCCTATTATAACTTTGCGATTATACATTTGATTCTGGCTGGTAGCCCGCTCACCTTCGGATGACTGACGAGCCCTTTATACTTGATGCACTTGACCCTGATGACTATGTTTTCGGGATAATTCATTTACCACCTGAGGAGTCAGCAATCAGTGTACTTATTCAGAATAACCCACAATTATTGAAATTCCTCAAAAAGTTTTTTAAAAGATTGGCTAAGAAGCCAAATGAATGCTTGCGACGAGCGATTCCCATTGCTGATGATAGGTGCCGCTATGAATTATATGCTCCAACTAACAGCGATCATACCACTTCGCTACCCTTTACTGGAAAGTCCTCTGATGGATCTTATTGTTTGAGATATCTTCCCGTTCGAAAACTTCTTATTGATAAGGTTGGACCTCCCGCATTGAGGTGATTCATCTTTTAAAATTCTTATCGTAATCACTTTTTTTCCGTATTTTATCCATGATTGATATCTGATTTACTTTAGCCCTACAATTTCCAGACAAACTTCATTCCCTGGGGATTCTGCTCAAATAATTAGTGCTTCTGAGAATTCTTCACCTGATGCGCCAACAACACAATCTGGAAACAAAAAACGCAAACATAAACTTAAAAATGTAGATCCTGATTCGGCCAGCAAAACTTTTCGCTTTAAATGAAATTGATTCTGTGAGTATTCATTTTACATAAGCTACCGCCTATGTGTTGTACATTGCAATTTTTGTATCTTATGTATTAATAGAAATGGCTATTTTATTCGGTAGCTTATCCCGAATCACAACTCAATGAATTTTATCATTTACTTTATATTTACTTATTCTTACAGATTTTCTATTTCCAATTTTCCTGACTTCTTCTAAGCTGCCGTTGCTTATGTATCATCCTGTGGAATATTTTGACCTATTTTTGGGTAGCGCCAGAATAGTTTAATTTGAATTGTATATTTTTGCTCAAAGTATAAATTTTTGTTCTCAGTGTTCTTTGGCTTATAAACTTTCTCAGGCTGTCATATATCCTTGAAACATTTTATCTTCTTTGGATATCGTGCTTAGTAGGCGCAGGTACTCTACTACGTAGACGCATGCACCACTGTGTAACAGTGTGGATGTAACATACAAGGCAGGCCACGCCTCCTATCTCATATCTGTGGTATTATTGTCGGTCAAGTCGAGTTTAGCTGCTTAATGTGCTTTGCGTCCTTCGAAGATACGGCAATTAGGCCTCACTAATCAGCCTCGAACAATAGCAATACTGATGCATACACATCCTAGAAATAACCTGAAATTGTTTATGTGAACAGAATAAGGTTGCATCATTTACTATTTGATTTTTAAAATACTCGACAGCTGATATGACTATCGTATAGAAGAAAATTTTGGCTTTTTTCATTACTGTGTACTTTCATAGTTTATCCCCGACAAGGCTGGTCTGATCGGAAGCTACTTCAAGAACAACCACTTATTGAGAGATAACTTTATAGGAGTTGTTTGACCTTGGTTTCGCAATTTGGTCATATTGGTAGGAAGACTTAGAGAAACGCATCCTGTCCGGAATCCATTGTATGCATAATCATTTCCAAAGTCGGACCGTTAACGTGGTACATTCCCAAAATTTTGGAAATGATTATGCATACAATGGACTCCGGACAAGATGCGTTCCTCTAAGTCTTCCTAGAAATATGACCAAGTTGCAAAAAAAAGGTCAAACAACTTCTATACAACGAAAGGAGACTGCGACCACACAGGTCACACCATTTTGGCCTTTATACTTGCCATTTTCAATGTCGTATGAAAATAAGGCTGAGCTCACTTAACAACCAGAATATTCCAGTACATTTTTGCAGTACTTTTCGTTTCTAAGGCAAAGTACGTTGAGCCGAGCACAATTTGACAGTCTTCACTGCCCCATTTGGTTTCCAGTGAGAAGTCCATGAATTCCTTCCGACCAAATTTTCTTTCGAAATGAAAAGTCCTGCTACAATAAATCGTCAAGTGATTTGTCGAAAACCTATTTTTCTCCATATGTTTCAGTAAAACCGACTGACAGCTGATCAATAAGAATCTGTCGTCATCTGGTGCGATCGACTTCGAGATTTAGTTCAGCTCAACCAAAATAAATCGAGAGATTCCTCGAAACCCAATCTTTCTTCGCACACAATCAAACGATTGTAGAACAAAGAAAGTCAAGTTTAGTCTTCTGGTATGACCACTTATTCACATTTTCGCACAAACTGAAAGTAATCACAAGACAAAATCAGCGTCATGGAATGGCCGTATAAGCTTAATAGGAAGATTTAGGACCGCGGTAATTTAAGGAAGCACAAAAGAATGCTATGAACATTAGGCGAATTTCGGGAATCCCTGACTAAGATGATGTTGCCCTACTTTCTAGTTCGCTTAAATTGGCGGGTGGAAAAGATTCGTTAATTGGCCTCAACAGAAACCGAAGGAGTATTGCCTTCGAAATAGGAGTGTTGAATTCTGCGAAGAAGACCTCGATAAATCCGTGCTGAGTTCTCGCATAACCTGCCTTGACACACATTCAGCGTTAGGCAGCAGCGCTTACAAAAAAATTCGCCACACTAGACCAGGAAGGGTGG